CAGTTACAGTGGGGCCACCCCAAGATGACACAGACACCGGAGTCCATCTAAGAAACTAGCCCCCAGGAACTGGCAACCATGCTGTAAATGTCAGTCATAGGGCAAGACCACCAATGTCTCTGTTGTATAGACATCGTGAAGGGATAAATGACTGAATGATTTTATTTGAGACAGAGACTCACATGGGCCAGGCTAATCTATAAACTTGATGTGTAGCTGGGGATAACCTTGAACTTCTAATCCTCCGGCTTTCATTTCCCAAGTGTGAGAATAACATGCTTGCCCCACATACCTGCTTTACACGATGTGGGACTAGGGATTGAACCCAGAGCTTCACGCCTGCTAGGCAAGCACTCCACCACCTGAACTACATCCCCATTGGGCCCTCTAAACTTTTAATAACTCCACCGAGCCAGCCCCATTGACAAAGGGACCGGGAGAGCTCAGAAAATGTCCCGCCCCCCAAAAGCATTACACCACAATCAAGCTCACAAGTGTGCTGTCACTTCTCCCCAAAGGTCATCACACACCTGCCTCACACTCAGTCCCTACTACATCCTCGTGGCCCTCCACCTTTGGTCCCCATGGAGGCTTGAATGCCACCCTCTCCCCCTGCACCCAGCACACCACACCCACCAGGCAGCGAAAACCAAGTAGAACTGCCAAGCTCTGTCCTCTGGGAGAGTGGCTGCCCTGTGAGCCCCTGCTGCTAATCAAACCCAGTCCAGAAAGAAACTCCAGCTCCATCTTCGTTTTGGTAAGAAATGTGCAGCGCGCAGACCATATCATTAACATAAAACTTCCCGAAATAAGGCCGCTTTCCAGACAGACTGTATTAATCGCATCAAGCCTCCACAGCTAGGGTGGTCTGATTCTAGGCATCCCATTGGAGGGCTCCGGTTAAAAAACACATACACACACACACACACACACACACACACACACAAAACGAACGCTGGGATATAATTGAAGGAGGAGAAGACGATGATTCTACTGTTAAACCCTACTATTTACTTACAGGTATTCTTTTATCTTTATTGTCCCTTTAACCCATGCCAAGAAACCCCAGACTAGTTAAATAACACAGCAAGCACAATTTCAGTAGAAAAGTAAATTGAATTTAACTTTACAAGATTGCCCTGTGATTTCAGCATATACTAATGACTACAACTGACTCCCTCTATTAAATCCAAACACTTCCACTTCCCTGAGCCTGGATGCTGTGTGTTCTTGCGTGAGACCTTGAACTTCGCCAAGCACATGCATTAATCACTCTGGCTGATGACCACTTACAGCTTCTAAATATGCAATGAAGTTTCCCAGTTCCCGTTCCACCGCCTAACGCTGGTGCACCATGAAGCTAGCCAAGAGACTAAATGCTTTTAAGCATGGAAACCAGGGATGCGGTTTAAAGGAAGTTCTCGCCCAGTGCCAGATACGTAACGCCATCAGGTTGCGAAACCCCTTCTGCTAGCGTATGAATCATACCGTCTGCAGGGTTTGTTACAAGCCGAGTGCTGTTCTGAATATCTGCCCTAAATGACCTCACGACAAGTCCTCCAAACAACTGTAGAGCATGTCCTATCCGTACGCCCATTTCACAGATGAGAGAAGAGAGAGGCCGAGGGGAGAGAGAATGACTTGGGTGTGGCCACATGGCTAGCTACGTACTTCACCTACTGAGGCAGCCTGATACGTTCTGAAGGCCACTTTTTGACCATGATGCTTCAGAGCAGGAAAAGATTGAGGACAAGATGGAGGCCAGTGGGTTTCAGCTGTCATTTGAGTGTCCTCAGATTCTGCCTTGAGACCCTCGCCAGGCCCAGACCCACAAAGGCCTGACTCGTTCTAGTCCACAGATCCACTCATGCACGGAACCTTGCTTTTCAATAGTACATTCATATACATGTGAGGGGGATTAGTTCTGGGTTTTTGTTTTTAACAGGAAAGGGAGGTGAGGCTTAAAGAGGGACAATGACGTGTTCAAGGTCTCTCTGCTCCTTAGATGGCACGGGATCAGCCAGTTGGCTGTGGCTCTTGCCTGCGCAGCCGCCTTGATAAATCCAGAAAGATCGTTCAGCTGCCAAGAGCACCTTGACTCAAGGCCACAGAGCATCTCTGTGGAATCCACAAAATAATGAGCCCCTGCGTCCCTTCTTCCGGCCAGAAGCATCTGAGGGAAGCGTGGGTGAGGGGTCCCAGCAGAGCCTGGGTGTATCTGGGTAGCTTTCTCTCCTATGAAATCACACCCTTCTATTTAAAAAAAAAAAAAAAACCCAGAGCGTGTTCGTGGGCACGCAATTAACCTGTGCGAAGCTCAGGCCTCCCGAGTTAATTTGAAGAGATAGGTTCAAAGCGCCCTGATCAGAAAAGGGACAGAGCGCACTGAGCAGTGCAGTGCTCCGTCTTTGCGGCCCCTCCTTCCTCGAGGGTTCCTGGCGATTTTATGCCTCCTCTGCAGCTACTAATTAAACAGGCACTAGAAACACTTCAGCAAACAGCCCAGTGCCAGAAACAGAACCAAAGGGACAAAACCCGCTGGAAGAGGACACTTGAATGTGTTGAAACGTATCAGAAAATACAGCACAGGGGTACCGAGCCTGATGCAGGCTAAGTCAACAAAGGCAGAACAAGGGCTAAGAACAGTGCTGGATATGGGGCAAAGGATGGGAAGAAAAACAGCAGGTCCCTTAGGAGCCAGCTCCTAGTGAGGTCCCAGGGCTCACCCTCGCTGCTCCTCCCCTCCCCAGCAGTGGAATCACCACACAAGGGCAGGACGACACAGAGCCCTGAAGTTCATGGTGGCCGCTGTACCACAGATGAAGCAGTCGTTTCCTCTCTGTGTTCCTCCCTTCCTTCCCATGGGCCTCAGGATAGATCTCCATGCCCATACTGTGAGCTGAAGGTAGGCAAGAGACCCACATACTTGACTCTGCCTGTGTCTGCACATGGCCTACAAACTACGTGCCTAAGAACCTACTGTAAACTAAGGCATGAGCAAATCTGAGCTGAGATCTCAGGGTGCTAAAGCTCACCTATAAAGTGGGAAAGAAAAACGTTGGTACAGGCACAGATGCCTCATACATGACAGACAGCTACACTAGGAGAACAAGTAGTGAGGACAGACTGACAGCAGACTCCCTTGGCTGCCAAGGCCCTACAGACCTTGTCTGTCCTCCACTGGGCCCAAGCAGAAGTCATGTGGATAAATGAGCTAATCCCAAGACTAAGGCCCCTTCTTGAATGGGGCTCAGTCGTGGCCTCCCAGTCTTTGTCCCTCCCACTCATTTGTAAAATGGGGACAGGAATGGCTCCTGCTTGCATTTGACACAAAGGCACCAGGAGACCCGGGTCAAATCAAAGGCAGCTCAAGCATCCACTCTGGCAGTTCCTAAGGAGAGCCAGCAGAGGGTTAAGCACACCCCAGTGGCACCCTGAGACAAAGAGATCATGTTTCTACATGCAGAACTTGATCAAGTCCAGCCACAAACACTCAGGCTGAAAGTGCAGCCCCCTAAGTGGGTGCGGGGCTGCGAGGCTACAACATGCATTACAAGGATCCGGGGAACAGGGCAGGTGCCAGACCAGCAGGCACCCCAAGTTGGTGAGCAGGGGCTCCCACAGATTCCCAAAACAGATCTTCCAAGCTACATGAAGCTTCAGTCACCTTGGGGAACAGGCTGGCCAGGAAGGAAGCCTTGTAAGTTGTTTTGGTCTCTGCTGTATGCATGCACTCAAGACATAAGCCCAGTAAGAAACCAGAACTCCTGGTCATGATGTCAGATCCAATGACATAACCACCTGTCAAGGCAGGAGTATGGGGCGAGGGTGGGGGGATGGAGGTGCTGAAGGCTGCCAACCACCCCACTGACAGAGAGACCAGGGAGGTCTTACCCTGGAGCAGGGGCTACTTGTGACCTTGTGCAAAACCAAATCTCCAACAAGAGAGGTCCCTGAGACAGGGTCAATGAAAAGCAAAGCCTGCCCACTCCAAATAGTTTTCTTTTCATAGCTCAACTCAAGAGAAAGCTTGCAACGTGCCTGGCAATGAAGCAGGGACAAATTGAATGTGTACCAGCACTGCAGCCACCCTCTCCCTTCCTGGCCCTGGCCACGGAAACCAGGCCACAGCTGCTCGCCACGTGAGTCTGTGTCAGCATCCTGGCTCCCGAAGCCACAGTGTGTTGCAAACCAGGCCCCGCCATGAGGTTGCAAGGAGGGCCTTCTCCCCTCGACCTCGTGGGGACCCCAGGCCACAGAAGTCTGTGTTTGTGGGGAGAAAGAGCAGGCCCTGTCTCCTGACCACCTGACTGTGGGTGCCCTTTGTGTGACCAGCAGCTTCATTGACCTCCAACAGCAGAGAGGGAACTGGAGCAGGTCTGGGGGGGCTGCCCAGGGCTACCAACCTTCTCAGTCTCCGCCCCAGACTCCACAATGTTTCACTGCTACCCGTGGCCACAGCTTTTTTAAAAGGCTCCTCTTTGGGACGACTTTTTTTTTTCCCCTTCCAAGTTAATGGGCAACACATTGTCCCAAAGAGAAAGTCAGCATTTTGAACAGCTTCAGCACTGTACGCAGACAAGCCAGGAATCCTCTCCTACCCTTGTCTGGGGTGGGTGGCAGAGCGGCAGAGGCAAGGGGTAGAAGAAAACTTCAGATGTTACGTGTTATCCAATTAAACTTGGCTAAACAGCCCAAAGAAATGAAACTTGGAAGTTGGGCAGAGCATTCTGGGAGCGGGACTCTCAGAATTTGGGGGTGGGAGGAATGCACGAAAGCAAAGCGACGGCCCCCTGACACCCTAGGAACTGTCGCGAGTTTACAGTTCAGTTGACATCCTTTGCCACTTCCGCTGCCACCCCCCCCCCAAAAAAAAAGCTTTCTGAGAGAGGGAGGGGAGGTGCATCTCCCCTGGGACCCCACCTTGGGCCACCAGCTCTGCCCGGGGCACAGCCCGCCATCCCAGGAGCCCGCCTCCCCCACCGCAGCGGCTCTGTTACCTGACAACTGACACTGGCATCCAAAGGGAGCCTCCATCTGACCCTCACCCTGAGTCCCGTCGCCCGAGACAGGGCGTGCGCCACAGCAAGGCAGCGGGAAGCAGGGTGGGAGAGCGCCCAGGGCACGCAGAGGTGAAGTAATCACGGATGTGGGAGGGTGGGAAGAGGAGGCAGCTATGGGGGCCATCGCTGGCAGCTGGGCAGGCCTGCACGGCCCTGGAGAAAAAACAATAGAAAAGACCGGTCAGTTGGGCCCTGGACTGTACAAGAGGCTTAGGGCATAGAGGGGGCTCGGGTCACAGGGCTACAGCACAGCCTCCAAGAGGGTTTGGCCTCGAGGACACCAGCCTTTTAGGGATGGCAACTGGCCCACGAGCAAGGGGCAAGGGGTCAAGGTGCACAGTAGAGGGGCTACACCTACAGCTGCCAGATAGTTTCTGAGGACCCTATCTTTCGGGGCCTAGTGCAGGGTGTTAGGGCACAGAAGGTCCGTGAGGGCAGTACTCCCAGTTAAGATTCCCTACGCGGGGTCTTCCGGAACAAACTAGAACAGGCTTCAATTGAGGATTTGTTCTCTCAAAAGATGAGCAACCCCTTTTCGTACAAGGTAGGAAGCTGTACTGTATCAGTATAGGTTCTTTGGACAGGCCCAAGTCACCTCAAGGCTGCTTCCAAGGCTCTGAACCCTGATGACTTCCTGCCTAGCTCATCACCTGAGGCCTCTCTCCGGGCCCTGACAAGCAACACCCAAGCCCCAACAGCTCACGAGATGCCTGACCTCCTCCTCCTCCCTCTACCACAAGAAGACCTAGCATGGCCCAGACCCCTCTTAATGTCTTCACCTCAGCTCAGGAGTTTCCCCACTCCCTCATGTGACAGCCAGTGACAGCAACGAATAGGAGGGCTAGGGAGCTGTTGCCTCGGCCCCACCCGGCCCCACAGTGAGTCTCCAATGCCAGCAAGGCCTGCGTTTGATTTGGCCGTTTATCTTACATGGTTAAGAGACCACCAGGGCAAAACATTTGTGTGAAGCCCTTGCCAAAACCACAAGTGAAGAAGCCCAAATTCCCTGGGTAAATAATCGAGCAGAGAGGCATCGGGGAGACAAGAAAACATCAACAAGAGGATGGGCAGCTAAGCCTCACCAGCCCCGCAGGGGAGGCCAGAGCCTCACCTCCTGGCACCTGCAGATCTGCGCAGGTGGGCATCTGCCTACTCCACAGCCACCACGGGAACTCCCTCCTCCCAGGAGAGCCACAGAACCAGGCGCGCCCAGTAGGAGCCCGAACCCTGTCAATCTACTCCAATCCAGTTTTCCAACATGCCCCTGAGCACAAGGAGGGAGGACACCCACTGCACAGACCCACACAGAGGCCACAGCTGCAGCAAACAGCAAGCCGGAGCCGTTGCGTGTCTCCTCAGAATCCCACTGCCAGCATGTGAGAGAGGCTAAAGGTACTCAGGGCATTTGAGGAGCGTCCCCAGCTTGGAGCGCACCGCTGCCCAGCCAAGAGGCCAGAGCCAGCAGTGACACTGTTGAACCCCACTGAGTATCTAGAGATATGCTCATACAAGGTCTCGGATGTTTCTGGGCTGGCACAGCCCTAGGAGGGTATGGTCAATAAGCCCAATAATGGTTCCAGTACCAAACAGAGCAGAAGGTCACACTGCCGTTTTCTTACGGGACTCAAGTCAAGACGATCTGAGGCTGTATCATCTAGCTCTCCCAGAAGGCCAGTGCTTGCCTCAAAGTCCATTTGCATCAGATACTGTACTTCATCCTGTCCACTTACGGCCTTGAATTCCTGCGTGGGTCCTCCTTTTAGACCCTGGAGAGCCCAGGATCATCAGAAGCCATCATCGCCAAGTGACTTTGCACTAAGTATAAGACAGCCACCATGCTTAACAGGGAGTGTCACCTCCCACTCCACAGGGGGAAACTGAGGCTCGAGAGGGAGGACATGAATGCAACAGTGACTCCAAAGCTTGGCTATGCTCCATTCCACCTCTATGGTTGCAGCTAGGGTAGAGTGATCAGGATGCCTTGCATCCTGAAGCCAAGGGCCACACGGGGTGGAGGAAGACCAAGCACCCTGCGCCTCACTCAGCATACCCATGAATGAAAACAAGAAGGCTTCTGGGTTCTTCACGGGGCCGTAACTCAGCCAGTGCCGTGTGCCACCGCTGAGATGCCAACAGGGACTCCTCTGAGTTGACTCTGATGGGAAGAATGGCCAAGGAGCAGACAGGAAATGTTATGCTGCTACAGCCTGGAAGGATGTCACCGGAGCTGCACCAGAGTCTGTCAAGATGAAGTCACATACCTACATCAAGTGGCGACAGTCTGGCTAGACAGGTGGCCACAGGGCCTCATCAGACATGACGACCTCGTTGAAGTCTACCTGCTCCAAGGGCAGGAGGGCGTGGGGCTGACAACCTCTGCCCCCACAGGAAGTCCCCTCAAGACACAGCGTACCTCAGAACTCTGCACACAGAGGCAGCTCTGAAATCCAGCTCCTACAATAGCTGAATGAGAAGCCACCATCCTATAATTCTCTGATGAGCTCCTGGGCAGGCAAATCCATGGAGACTGAGGGTCAATGGGTTACGGGTCTTGTTGTAGAGGGGAGGGGGTGATAATTAAACAGTGGTGATGGCTGTACAACATTGTACATAAACCCAAAGCCACAAATGGGACAAATTAAAGTAAGTTTCACAATATGTGAATCTTAATTTAAAAGAAAATTAACCGTGAGAACCATGTCTCTGGGCCTGTCCCTGCCCACTTTCCAGCCTCAGCCTTCCACTGAGAGGGACGTGATCCCTGGATCCGGGACACAGACGGCTCCTGAGACCTGCTGACAGACAGGACCTGATGCACAGGCACACAGAGGATGTCAGCCTGGGCAGGGGGCGGGGAGGGGGGAAGGGCAGGGGGATAAACAGTAACAGAGGCAAAGGCAGACAAATGAGTTCACATTCCTCCTCAATCATCTCCTAGCATGACCTAAGGTGGTCACTTTTTCTGTCTTCATGTTTTTAAACACAGCCACCACTATCCTTACTCCGAAACCTCATTGATCTCCAGGCCTGGAGCTTTCTGACTCTCCCTCTGCATCCTTCTCACAGCGCCCTGCCTGCCTAAAAGCCTCCACAGGACGCCTTTTTTTTTTTTTTTAATCAATCTTTCTGGGCTGGAGCTTAGTGTTTCTTAGGAGGCATGAGGTTTTGGGTTCCATTCCCAGCACTTCCAAAATAATGAATAGAAGATGTAGGCCCGTAAGATGGTTCAGCAGGTTAAGGTTTACCCCCCAGAACCCACATGGAGCTGAAATGGAGGACTAACCCACAAAACTGCCCTCCGAGCTTCACACGTGTGTCCACACAGCACACAAACCCACGCACATTCATCATGTACACGCAGGCACAGTAATAATATGCACATTACAATTTTTAATTTTCTTGTACAAGTCACTTTCTTTTGCAGGCTAAGCCAGTCCAAACAGACCCATGTGCACCAAGGGATGTACAGGCAGAGGGATGCCGCCGCTATCTCAGATTCTAGGACGCCAGCAGCTTAATAATGAAACCCTAGCTGGCTCAAATTTTTATCATAAAAGTACGTTTTAATTAGGAAAGAAATAAAAAATTGATTCTTATATTATGCCATGGCGTAAAGCCTTCCTATGGAGTAAGGATATATTTACTGCCCCCCTCAAACACGTGGAAAGGAGGTTCCAAAGACAAGGTTAGATAGTCTTCTTGGTATCTGCGCCACCTACGAAGGAATATCCAAAAAATCTACCCAAAAGGCCTTTGGCATGTTTGCTAAAAACCCAAACAGGGGCCAAGATCACTGTTAACACCTTTCTGGGGGTAAAGAACTCGGAGGGGCCCTCAAGCCCACGTCTCTCGCAAACAGTCCCTGCAGAAGCTGGGCTCCATGCCCTGCACATGCGCACTAACCAGCGACACGCCCACCGCCAGGAGCCTGTAGATACAAAAAAATGCCTGGAACCGCCCAGTCCGGGTTGAGGGAAACCAAGTCTTCCCAATGCTGCCTTCCTGGTAGAGTCCTCAGGACGACACTGCAAACGGGAGGTGGCAGAATCCATGTTCCTAGCCCAAGAGGTGGCCTGGCACACACCGTACAGAGAGGTCTATTTTTCTCCCTACTGGTGCCTTTCAACGGATACATTTTTTTAAAGGCGAGAACTCCTACTGATAGTGCAGAAATGAGTCAGAGATCAAAGAAGGAGACAGACAGCCACGCCAGCGCGTGTGAGCGAGGGACTCTGGCGAGGGAACCTGACAGTCCCCGCGCCCCTTCCCCCGCCCCCCCTCGTGCCAAGACATTAATTCTCACAAGTCGGAGAAAATTACTATGCATGAATGCAAAAAGCATGATCAGGAGTAATTAACATGGCTTCATATGCAAATTTTATTAATGCAGAAGTACAAAGTCATTATGCAAATGAAACTTACGTCAACTCTCTTGACAAATATTCATCTCTGAGGCTCAAGTTTCTCTTTTTTATTTATTTATTTAATTCTGTCTCCCCCCCCTTTCCTGTTTTTGGGTGGGTTATATTGTTGTTGTTGTTGTTGCTGTTGTTGCTAGCTTTCTGTTTTTTGGGGGGACTGGGTTGGACCAGGAGGACTGGGGAGGGAGGTATGCGGTCTAGTGTCCAGGGAAGAACCAGCAAGCGACAAGGGCTGTTTGACAAGTTTGCTCAGTTGTTTTCAACCAGAGAAATTTATTCTTGCATTGTTGATTTTTTTTTTTTAAGTTGTTGGCAGGTATAAGACAGCTCATAGGAGAAGGGAAATTTCAAAAAAAAGAAAAAAAAAAAAGCTATGGGCAGCAGGCAGCCAATCAAAACGCCAGAGCCAGTAATGAGGGCGATTGATGGCTGTTTGGCTTTTACTGCAGGGTAATGAACTAGAATCCAGTCTGAGGAGGGGGGAGAATATGAATATTCATGAGACTGTGCTCCTGCGTTTGATGATTAAAGAAATTTTTAATATTCAAATAAGCGCTTGCCAAGTGATTAACAAAGAACAAGCACGCAGAAATATGGAAATGGGAGCCGGGGAAGATTCGAGAGGCGAACATACTGTGCGGGAGAGGCAGCCCCAAATTTCATAAACAAGATAGGCAGATAACCCAATTCGCACGCAGGCAAATAAAAACATTTGTTTCTGATCACTTAAAT